AAAATGAGAAAAATCCAGGTTTACACCCGCACGGACAAAGTTAAAACTACAAAAGGAGGTTGTTTGTCTCACACTACTTTGAGAGGAGGACCAAATGATTTCATTGATCTGGATGGCAATTCGGGTAATGGTAGTCTTAAAAACAAGGGACTACAAACATTGAAGAGCAGATTTTGAAACATACAGAGAAACCTAAAGTCAGAACACCAAAACAAGTGCAATTAAGGTGAGTGTGATTGAAAATGGCTGTTTGTAATTTATATTATTTATTATATTTGAATGGTAAGCATTTTCCATGGTGATTGTCATTCAATGTTTTGATTACACAACATTACATTGGTTGCATATCGCCAAATTTTATTATCTCTTTCATATTATTAGTGTCATACAAAAGAAAACTGCAGAGGATGGTAAACAGGAATTGAAATGTAACAAGTTTACGGTTTTACTAGATGGAGAAGAGGAGATTGATTCTAAAATGCAAGTTCCAGGTAGGACAATATATGTTATCTAATGGATTCTCATTTTCATATCTCTTCTTCAATATACATGAATAATTATGAAATGGTCGAAATGAATAGTAGTTCAATCTCAAATCAACTTTTTTTAGCAGTAGCATTCATTATTAGTACTTTGTTTAATGATATAGGTGCCAAGCTGTCAAAATTGAAAGAAACATTACAAGCAAAGATGAAAATGAAGAGAGACCAGGAGAGGAAGAAACGAGAAGAGGCATATCAGCTTGACAATGAGGAAGGTTTTGAAGATGATTTCATGGATGATGATGGTGAACTGACTGATAAGACAGACACTGATATAGAAGAAGAAGATGATGATGATATGGTGTGTATATACTGTATTTATCCGGGTATAAGCCCAGGGTCCTGAACATGGAAAATTGCCAAAAAATAGGGTGGGCGTTTGCCTGAGATCCCCGGCAAAAAAACGAAAATTCGCTCAAATTGACAACACTCAGATCGAACTGCGACAGGGAATAGAACGGCTAATGAAAACATGCAACAGAAATAAATGAACAATGGTCAAAATTAATGTATTGCTTATAATGTGACAAATAAACCAGAAATAATAAAAATCGACAGTGAGGAATCATTTGAATTAGGATTTTCCCACCGACAAATGCACGTGAACTCAAAATGAATTAAAATGTCAGGGGTTAAAATGTGTAAAATGATTTCCGGTCTCGACAAATTACGAATCAACTGTTATACAAGACCAATAATAATTTACAAATTTACACAGTAAAAATTATAAAAATTCATAGCTGTTTGAAAAAACTTCTCAGATCTTAATGTTTGTTCATTGCCATCTTCTTCAAACTCAAAACCTCTCAAAGTCACTGTAGCCGTTGAACAAAATCCCTACAACTTCGTCGATATCGTCCCACACAATTTGTCAGCTTGGCACTTTTCATTCATGTCTAATCACGATAAAGAGACAGGAAAAATGGAGTCACTCTGCTGCGATGGCACACGATGCTTTTGTTTACAGTCTGGCAATCATCTTTGACCTTTATGCATCTGCTTTACTGATTGGCTAAGAATGACATCACTACTACCGTAGTATTTCATCATAAAGCTCAAATTGTGACATTGCTTTCTTATCAGACTCGACGCTTATCACGGTGAAAGTTATCATTCAGCAAGTTCCGGCGGTTGGAATGACTTGAAATAGGAATTTTTTTTTTTATCCTTCGACAGAAGAATAGTTTTTATGACAGAAATGCAATATCGGTGATGAAAGATGGTAAAAAAGTTGGCAGTCTTCGGCGTGACATTGCAAAATTGCTGGCCCCAGTTATTGATTCGCAAGCTGCTAGCAAATATTTTATATATAGCCCAAATAACGTGATTTCAACTGCTCTCCCAGGTACGGGTTGCTACAATATTGCAACATTGGTTTCATTGTCGACGACGCTAAAGCTGAACGCAGTGTGACACTTGCTTAGCGGCTCTCCTTATACGATTTGCTTGAATCGTTTCTTAGCACAAACCAAACGACCGGCCCTTTTTAGGGCCACGACATATTTCAAAAGGAGAACTCTCGTTTCTGCTTTAATATATATTTTTATAGACTTGCTGACTGTTATGATTCTGAAAAAAATCAGTGGTGAACTCGCTGCCCTGAAGGCAAAAAGCTGTTTTGCGCAATTATCAATTATATTTAAAGAATTTTTATAAGCATCACGACGAACTTCAAGAAAGTCAACTGTTAACAACCACAGTCAACGAATAGAAAATAGTTTTTTTGTTATTTTTTTTTGTGTAGAAAAAGACCCCCTGGACGTGTGCCCGGATATGACCTCAACTTCTTTATTGTGTCAAAAGTGGGGGGGGGGGTGTTTGTCCAGGCATGGGCTCTTACCCGGATAAGTACGGTATATAATGCATACAATACCAATAATCGTTGTGTAATGCATAATTGTAATGCAGTCTATATAACATGTATCAGAGTAGTTTAACCAGAGTTGAGTGCATTTTTGACTATTAAAAGTCTAAAAAAAATTATTGATAACAATCACAAAAATCAATTACTGTGGAATACTTTATTTTCGCTTGGAATTAATTTTCGCTATTTTCGCTGAAGGAATGATTCAGTGAAAATAAAATTCAGCGAATATACCTTTTTTCTTATATTTTACCTTCAACTCGTCAAAAATCAGTGAAAATAAATTCCATACAAAACACCAAAAAATTCCATTAAGTGAAAATTAATTCCAGCTAAAATAAAGTATTTTACAGGAGTACATTTGTCCAGGTGAAGTTACATTTCTCTGTCTTAGTTTATGAATTTTGAACAAATTAATGCATACTGTTCACTGGCTTTCAATTACAGGGAATAGAAGGAATAGAAAAAGAAGCTGATGACGACGATGGTGATGATGTAATTGATGTTGTCAATGGTGGTGCAGCGAAGAACAAAACGCAGAAAAATGTAGATGGTGGGTCAGGTCAGTTTTAATTTTCTTCAATCCTATATAAATCAGAAACTTGTTTTCTTGAATAATAGTCAATTGAATTGAGAAAGTTCATCTCCTATCAAAGAAATTACTTTCATTGACTGACATTTTTTCTTTTCCAGAATTCCTATCTCTAAAACTACTTGACACAAGTATAAGAAGTGACCCATCAGCATCATCAGGAAGTTCATCTTTCAAAACCCCTGCCAAAGTGATAACTGGCCCTAACCATAGTACAGATACAATGAATCTCTACGATAGCACCTGCTCATTACCCAGTGATGTCAGTGATCTACAGCCATGTGATAATGATAAGAACAATAGTTGGAAGGATTTCAATTTTGGTTTAATAGAGCAGAAGAAGGGTTGGTGAAATTTAAGTTCATCTTTGTCTGTGAAATAGATCAATTTGATTTGACAAGTTTACTGTCTCTTGAACCTAATAATGCATTCTGTGCTGGGGTCAGATGGTGCCAAACTACTTGAAATGATGCATGTGACATCAAATAAAGCAACACGTTTGCGGTCATGAATTTCTAACTTGGTTCTTAAAACCTTACTTTTGTTTCTTAATTTTGTCTTGCTTTTGCACTATTACCAATACAGTAGTTATCATTGAACTCATTACAAGAATTGTTTTATTTTGTGCTTCAAGAATCCAGCCCCCCCCCCCCCCCCCCCATTATGCGCCAAACCAATAATTCTGTTATTCTCAGTATATTTTGGTTTGCCTATATCTAAAGTGTATAAGAATGAGAAATTAAAGTTCTTGAAAACATTGACATTAAATTGGTGTATTATGAGAGAACACAATGATGAATGAAATTAATGATTATTTTATTTATAGGTTTGATTAAACACAAGTCTAAAGATTTTGGTGAATATGACTTTAGTGATGGTGAAAATGAAATGTTAAAATTAGCGGTTGAAAGTGATAAAGAAGAAAAGGGTAAAAACTTTGGCTTGTTCTACTTTTGCAGCGATTAAGAAATTATATATTAGATAAACAAATTAAAAGAGAATATTATACATTGCAGGCATTTCAATTGTAAGTTTTGTTTCAGACATGCCAGATATTAAAAATGTAAGTTACAATGGTCTTGATGCTAGTTTTGACCCAGCTTCTATGATACCTGCATATCAGCCTGGAGGTGGTAGTACAAACCAAGATCACAACAAATCTGCAACCAGTGGTAGGAATTCACCAGATTTCTTTACACCATTTACCAAGAGACAGATCAGTACAGGCTCTCTTCAAAAGGTAATAATTGTTTTGTTGTTTTTTTACATTAATTTCCATACAGTACTTATACAAAAATTGGACTATGTATGTTATAATGTATTCAATAAACTGTAAATGTGTAAACAAAACAGTCACTTAGTACACAAGCCTATGCATAGACTACATTCACAGTGTTCCCATTTACCTTCTCAAGAGGGTATTTTCCCTTCAATATTGATTTCAGACCCTCATGTTAGGAAAATCACTTGGAATGATATTAAAATTTACCAACTGCATTACTTAATTTACCCTTGCTTGTTTATATGTACCCTTATTTTATAAATGACAATGGTATAGAAACCTCGCATCTAAAAACTCAATAGGAATTCTGTCCAGGTCATTTTAATTTGTGTTTGATTGGTAAATGAGTATTTTGAGAAGTGGGTTGCTGCTGCTGTTATTTTTTATTTTTTTCAAAATAATGCAAGTTTTTTTTTCTAATATGTTGTTCACTCTAAACATTGTGCTTTGTGACATTGAATGTCACTGTTGTCTCTCTTAGCCATTTTAAATTTAAATTGGAAGTGCAAGTGCTACAATGTAATTGTACATGCATTTAGCCACAGAAACAATATTACATGTTTGTGAATACATGTACAGTGTTAGCTCCATTAGTACCATATGTGCATACATACGAGACATTTGTGTCTATATGGTCAAACTAAGACATATTACAAAGATCCAGTATATCTAATTTTTGGTCTACGTGTGATTATACTAATTGGAGATGTGCTTCTAGTACTGCAACTGCAGTATTGTGTGAACATGTATGTTATAGATAAAATACTAATGGTTAATTATGATTTCATTTTTACAGAGTACTGGCAAGTTATCTGATCTCTCCCTTCCTGTAGAAGACTCTCAAGATCTTTTTAATTCTCCTGCAAGATCACATCATTCAAGAAATTCAGATTCACTATCACAGAACTTTCATTTCTCCCTGGATGATGAGACTCAGAGTCAATTTTTAGATGAGAATGGGTGAGTTTATATATCTCATGACTATGAAAGCCATGGCCAATCAGATTTGTATTTTACAGATTCACATGGTCTGTAGCCCATGGAGTCGATATATGCATACACAAAGCTTCATGATTATATTCATGACCCAGCCAGACAATCAAATTTGTGCATTACCTGCACACATTCATGTATTTAAACGTCTGGGAAGTACCTTTTTTGAAATTCAAGCTGAGGTCATCAGGAGGTTGTTATATCGGCTTTGCTTTTCAATTGGCACTGTCATATTTTCACACAATCATAATTTGAATGTACCAGATCTACTGGATTACATTTATCGTCTTTAGATGCTTCAGCATGGTTGACAATAAGATATCTGTATGTTCATCTATATCAATGTGAACCAAGGCACTAAGATCACAGAGACCATGGTGGCCTAGATGCCCTATCTAGGAGTGCATTGATGCTATTTAAAATAGTCAAATAACATTCTAATGCTCTTCTGAATGTTGGTATTATGTTAGTCATTTTCTTGATATTATACATTTCAATAATTACATTCTTGTACTATTTAAATAAATATTTTTTATTGGATATATAGGTTTCTGAATGTGAGAAGTACAACAAAACCAAAGGTTTCAAAGAGGCAGTTGTTATTGAGTGATGCATCAAATGAAAATCTTGATGAGCTACTGGGACTCTGTTCTGGAAAGTTCACTGAAGGCAGGTTTTCTTACTATGTTTTATGTTTCAGATTGACGGAATTGTCTAAATGTATTTGCATACTTGTTTTCATCTTCTAATTGTGACTAAATGACTACAAATAGACCCGGGAAAGTATATATTTTTAGAATCGCCAGACTTCAAGCTTTTCACAAGTGTATTTTGCATGCCCGTATCTGCATTCTACGACGCGTTACTCAATCAAAGGTGAAAAATTACTTTTTCTGTAAAAAAAAAAATTACGCATTTATGCTGGCGATAAGAAGTATTTTTTTCACTTTTCCTAGTTGTTCAATAGTCTGGTAAATTGAATGTGTCTGGTTAGTTTTATTCAAGCAACGCGTTTTAAAAAATAGTGTCCTGAATTTCAATTACTGTTTTAGTCGCATTGCCCCCAACTCAAACCACAACTCGTTGGTAAATAATCGATGAAATAGTTTGTCTGGACACATTCAAGTTCTTCTCATTGTCACCTTAAAGCTGTGAAAATTTGGTGTTAATCCGACGACAATAAGTATACGTTATTTTTTGTTAAAGACCTAGTATTTTGAAAAACATAAACTCCTAGAAATC